AGCCATGTTTATTTTCCCAGGTTTTTAGAGGTTAAAAAGTGGAGTAGAAGACCCAGGAGGAGTTTTTTAATTACTCTAGACCCTGTGTTTGATTGGACTGCCCTCCTCTTTGTGGCTTTTTGCCCCGAGGTGCGGTGGCACCCTGGGAGCACGGCATATGCTGCTTAAACTCGTTGCGGGGATTTAGCTAGATTAGATCTCCCGATTTGAGTCCGCTCATGCTAGCGATTTGCCTGGTGGATCATCGGGTCACTGATAATGGAGATTTGTGCTTTGTTAATGTGACCAAAAATGGCAAATGGCAAAAAGAGCAAGGGAAAAAAAGGCCAGTAGACCGTAGCAAACAGCATATCAAAGTAACAAATAATTAAAAATGAAAATAAAATGAAAAGCAATAATAAGTATAACTTTACAGGAGAGGAAGAGGACATAAACATTCTTACCTTTTAATTTACTTTAATGTAATAAGATTTTGTTCTGAGTGTTTTTGGACCATGTGTGTGTGTGTGTGTGGGTCTATATATGAATAGTGAAGGGTCTTTAAGTTCAAAACCGTTTATTTATTAGCAATAAATGTGTCTTTGTCTGTAAAAAACACTACATTTAGAAAAAATACAAGAAAACATGAATTTCTGCTTTTAAGAAAGGTAGTTGAAGCCTTGTGCATAGAATGGCACAGCTTAGGTTCTGTTTTCTCCTTAATGCCCCCCCATCGTCACATAGATCTGTTAAATTCCATGTATTAAAGCAAACCTGATTTAATTTAATGTAGTGTTAACTGAACCAAGTATTGGATCAAAGCTACAAATAATGTTAGGTTGTCACGAGTAGAGGTTTGCAAATGGGTAAGCAACCATGCTGACATATATAAATTGCTATTTATATTTCTATAGTAATATTCTTTGTGTTTATTCTAATATTATTCTAATGTTAGTCTTTTTCTGAGCAAATAAACAAATACTACCTAGAAAAATAGCAGTTCAAATTGTAATTTTGCACTGTACTGTATATGTATATCAGTATATACTCCGTCAAAAAAAGCTATTATACTTCGTCTACCACGTCTAAATGTACCCTCAAAGGTACAACATGATCTTTAAGGTCTAATTGTTTACCTTAAGGGGGAGTGCCACCAATTTCACAAACTTTCTGCATAATTCAGTGGTTAAGTTGTAAAAGTCGTTTGATGTGAAATAGTTATTTGTGGAGAAGTTTACCTGCTCAGATTTCTTTACAGTGGTGGTGATATGAACAAAATGTCTCAATGTCTACAAAGTATATCACTGCTGTTGGACCAAAACTTAGTATCTCTATTTTTGTTGTTTTTCAGTTTTTGATATAATTTGAAACTACCTACTGTTCTTTACACTGTGTGTAAATTAGAAGAATAGAGCAAAAGAAATGGCCCAAAATTACTCTAAAAAAAGTCTGGTGCCATTGACTTACATTGAAAGTAAAGTATGTGTTTTCCTTCTCCTGTAAAGTTACCATTTTTTTTTTGTATACTACGCAAAATATCCAGTGAACTTGGCTTGCTTGGCAATGCTTATATGTCTCCGCCAGTATTACAGAACTATCATAAAACAATGTTCCAGACATCAGTGACAGCACTCATATCCTTCTCATGTAATAATAAGTAGCTTTAGGAGGCATCACACACTTCAGACGTCTGGTTCCTATCACCACCACTGTGAACAGTTCTGACTCAGCAGGTTTCTGTAGAACGAGCATTTCACACCGAACCACTCTGAAAGACTTTGTTTACATGTTAACAATTTAATTATACAGAAATTTTGAAAAATGAACAGAAATCCCCCTTTAAATGGTTTTGAAAGGTACACTGTCTTCACTTACCCAGAGAAAAGAGACATATTTTACTTTTTCTTAATTCAATACTGGGTGCATGGAGTCAGTGCAACTCAAAACAAATAATAACAGCAACTGAATGTAGTACAAATATGTTCCCTAACTGCACTCAAGACGTACTTTTAAGGGTTTTTTCCTGAGAGCATATATAAAACATCACTCCAAACGTATGTGTCTTTATTTCATATGTATTAGACTCTGTTGCACAGACAGAGACATAAAGAGATGTAGAGTGTGTGTGTGTGTGTGTGTGTGTGTGTGGCTGTATTGGTGAGGAATATGTGTCTCCCTCCTTCTTTGTTTGTGTGGTGGGTCTGATGGCAGCTGCTGGTTTGGAGGGTCTGCAGGGATTTCAGCCCTGTGTGTTCACACAGGACTCCATGCCAAGGCTTGCAGAGAGAGGGAGAGAGAGAGAGAGAGAGAGAGAGAAGGAGAGAATGAAGGAGGGATGGGGAAGGATGGAGAGAGGGAAAGGGAGAAGAGATAGAGGGTGAATGAGAGGGATGGAGGGAGAACATGATTTGAGAGAGAGAGTGGGGTAGAGGGATAAGAAAAGAAGGGGGTGAGTTTTGGATGACAGGACTATGTGCGTGTGTGTGTGCGTGCGTGTGTGTGTGTGTGTGTGTGTCTGGCTTGATGCTGATGAGTATGTTGAGTGTGTTGGCCACAGCGTAGATTAAGGTATGTGCACTGAAACTAATGTGATGCCGTTGAATTATACATCATTTCCAAATGAATTGCATATTAATATTACATCACTGCCATTACTGTCTTTCAGTTCACTTGCTTTGGCCGTTATTGTGTTGATGTAATGTATGTTATTCATGTGGAAATGATGCACTTATTTGAATCAAGTAAATTCAAAGCTGCACTCTTTTCTATGTGTGAATGTGGGTATAAAGTGTTTTGGGGGGGCTGTGGGTTAGAGCAGGTTTTGGAGGTGCCTGGGGGCGGAGTTAGAACCTAGCCGAAGCAGCTGATTGGTCCTGGAATCTGCAGTTGCACTCGCTAGCTAGGAAGTTGCTAATTTGGCAAAGTGAAGAGCCAGCCCACGGACTGATTCACATCCAGCCCTCCCTCCCTCTCTCTCTCTATCTCTCTCTCTCTCTCTCTCTCTCTTTCTCTCCCACCCATTCAGTTCTTGAAGCGTGCGTATTGGTTGAGCATATTGGGCAACTCTGTGCCAAATAGGTGGGTTCAGGCTGGCGCTGGCACACTCGCGGGCGATGGTGAGGAAAAGAACGCTGAGAGGAAGAGAGAGAGAGTGAGTGAGTGAGTTGGAGAGAAAAAAGGGGGAAAAGAGAAGCGTCAGGCGGGTTTGCCAGCGGTCGTACGCGCGCTCATCCAACATTGATTCGGTCCTCTGTTCTCTCTCTTTTTTGTTTTTTGTTTTTTTTCTTCCGGCTCTCCATTCGCTCCTCGCTACCCCCCTCCTTGTTGTCGTCCCCTCTCTCTTCTCTTCTCTTCTCTTTCTCTCTCACCCCTTCTCTTTCTCTGTCGCTCTCCCTCTCTTCCTCTCTCACCCCTTCTCTTTCTCTGCTGCTCTCCCTCTCTTCCTCTCTCTCTCTCTCTCTCTTTTCTCTCTCTTTTCTCTATGAGTCGAATGCAGAGATCTGAACAGACATCACTTTTGCCAAACATTTTTTCTCCTTCTTGCGGCACTCCTGCATTTTTTTTACGTTATTGTTTTTTTGTGATTGCAAGCCTCTTTATTTCTCTCTCTACTTTTCTTGTGCACAGTTCTTTTTTTATTTTTTTGTGTCTGAACTGACAAAGACACAGACGTAGACTTGTTATTTTTTTGTAAACTTCTTTTCTTGCTTTCTATTCTTTTGGTTTTTGCATATTAAAATTTTATTTTTAATTTCCTTTCCATAAGAAATTCACTTTGAAATTCAGTTTGACTTTTTTTTCCTCTCTTTTTTTCTTCTCCTAACAGCGTGATTTTTAGGGCTATTTTATGGCTCAGTGTAGCAATCATTAGGACATGTGGTGTTGACTAGAGAAAGGAGAGGAACCGCTTGGCTTTTCCATTTTTGTTTATTCTCAAGTCGCAGTGCAGTTTATGATGAAAGTGCAAAATGGTAACTACCGACATTTTCTGCTCTTTTTTTCTTTGTGTTGCACGTCTTGCCTGCGTTTGTTTTGTGATTGTGCAGTGTTGTGGTGAAATGTGTTGCACGTAAAAAGTTGGAAAGTACTAGAAGGCGCTTGCCTGACTGTGTTATTCGCCGTGTCGCCCTTTAATTCAATAACAGCGGCTTTAAATGGGGCACAGACTTTGAGACATTTCATGAAAAACACCTGACACTACAGATCAGTGCTGACCTTATTGGGACATTATCAAAAATACAGTTTTGAAATGTGTTCAGGTTGAAACAGAAGACCAAAAACAACATAAACAAAGAGAATTTATTGATGGTAGCTTAAAATCTTTCACTATAAACTGTTTTGGGTGATCTACATAGAATTAAGACAAATCTCTTATTAAGGAAGTATCATTATAGCATTAAAAGGTAGAAAATGACACATTTGTAATGAACAATTTAATTTATATGAGCATTTTATATGGAAAAACCTTTAAGATGCTCAACCCCAGAGCCGACAGAGCAGCTATTTCATCTGCTTATTTGTTAATAATGTAATTCATATATTTTTTTAATGCTGTTCCATGTGAGTTTAAGAGGCCAGCATGTTTCTTTCAGTGATTTATACATTTTTGTTGAGCATAAGCCACTTAGTTCAGCTCTTGCAATAATATAATTTGTAATTTTACTTTTTTCTTCTATAAACAAGGAAAAAAATCTATCAAAAATATTTCACTGGTTAGACGATGGAATATGTAACTTTTTTAATCATGAATCACGAAGCAGAAATGCAAGTAGGGTGCACAGTACCATTGTTTGTGTGTGCCCATGTGTGTGTGTGTCTGTGTGTGTGTTCATGCCTCTCCCCCACGCTCGCTCAGTCCGTATCCATGGCGGCACGGGCAACATAAACCCAGTTTTGCTCTCCTCCGTTTCCAGTTTACCACAATGCTAACGCCTTCTCTCCATCCCTCCTCCTCTTCTTCTTCCTCTTTCCCTCTCCCTTTCCCCCCCTCCATCTCTCTCTCTCCTTCCCTTTCCTTCCAGGATGAGTTCCATCCCTTCATCGAGGCGCTCCTGCCGCACGTGCGCGCCTTCTCCTACACCTGGTTCAACCTTCAGGCGCGCAAGCGCAAGTACTTCAAAAAGCACGAGAAGCGCATGTCCAAGGATGAGGAGCGCGCCGTGAAAGATGAGCTTTTAGGAGAAAAGCCTGAAATAAAGCAGAAGTGGGCCTCACGCCTGCTGGCCAAGCTCCGCAAGGACATCCGGCCCGAGTTCCGCGAGGACTTTGTGCTCAGCGTGACGGGCAAAAAGCCGCCGTGCTGCGTGCTCTCCAACCCGGACCAGAAGGGCAAGATGAGGCGCATCGACTGCCTCCGACAGGCCGACAAGGTGTGGAGGCTGGACCTGGTCATGGTCATCCTGTTCAAGGGCAGCCCGCTGGAAAGCACGGACGGAGAGCGGCTGGTGAAGTCGCCTCAGTGCTCCAACCCCACCCTCTGCGTCCAGCCGCACCACATCGGCGTCTCTGTCAAAGAGCTGGACCTCTACCTGGCCTACTTTGTCCACTCGCCAGGTGAGTACAGGAATGACCGAATGTGCATAGACTGTCGACTGATAGTTGTCATGTTAAGTTAAATTAGGGCTGGGCGATATTTATAAAATTCAGTATCGCAATATTTCCAATTATATTACATTTATAAAGTTAATAAACCCATCCTAAAAGAATGTCTTACAAAACCTGATGCAGCTTGTTTGACTGGACCGTTTTGTTCTCTTCAGGTTACACCGAAGGGAACTTTACACAGGATTATAAATGCTAAGCAGACACAAATTACATTCACAGAAAGGAAACTTACTATTTACTTACATGTATGGATTTAAACCCCTTCAAAATCCCAGGTTTATTACATACTAATGCTTTTTATTTCTACAGGGACTTCAATTCAAACTCGTTGAGCTATTCTTAGGTTACAGAAGTGTGTAATAAAACGTTGGGCCTGCTGGTGGGCCCTGGCCTTTTAAGGGATTAATCTGATCCTTCTTTCAGTTGACTGTTAGATCCGGGATGCCATGAGTGAAATTAGTAAAATGTACGAAATAGATTTAAAAATCGGCAACAGGGACACAGCTGTTTTATGATCATTCTATAATGGAAATATTGCTCATTATCTAATATTATATTATATATTATATTGCTAAAACTGGAAAACATCATGGTATGTTAGTATTATAGTATATACAATATATTGCCCAGCGCCAGGTTAAATTAAGGTCAAAAGAGGTTAGATTAGATTTTAACTCTGGTGCCTTTATCTCTCTTTTCTGCATACATTGTATATATATATATAATATATAAATAGTATATATATATATATATATAAATGTACACAGACACATGTATTAAGATATATAATTGCTGTCATAACAAAACCTCCTAACTGAAATGGTTGATTTATAGGAGAAGCCTAAATAAATAAATAAATAATAATTACGTTTTTATGGGTTTTCATTTAAAAAGATTTTATTCCAAGTTATTTTTTACCATTTCGTGATGATGTTCAGACAGTGTAAGAGCCATCTGGTGTTTTCAAGTTGCAAGAAAACAGAACAATGAACAAGACAACTGAGGTTTTGATGTGACAGCGATCATGTGTCTGTGCCCATGAATGGCTGTGGTCAGTTTTTTGCCACACTGACTGTATCCAGTCACATCACACACTACGGTGTGTTGTTTTATTTTGCATTTCAGTTGAAGATAACGTGTAATTTTGCCGGTTTAAAATGAGAAGATACTGTAATATGGATTATCGTGGAGAAAATCAGACAGAGTTTTGTTATTATGGGATTAAGTATGATGAAAACAGAGCACTTCAGAAGCCGGAGTAACGACACTACTGACAGTGTGTTTTTCAATGAGGTTTTTCCAAGTATGCACTGCATGTGTGTGTGTGTGAGTGAGCATGCTGTTGTACTTGGCGTGATAGCGCTGTGTTGTGTGTAGTAAGTGGCCAGTCTCTCAGTCGCGGCCCACTATCTCATTGGCAGTGTGTTTGGGAAATGTGTGTGTAGACTCTGGTGTGGTCTCAAACGTTCACAGCCAAATATCACCGCTCACGTTCACCGCCAAACACTGTCTCAACACACGCGCGCAGACGGACACACACACTCTCGGTGGCCAAATACACTCTCTCATTATGACTGGAACCAACTCCGCTTCGGTGTTGTCGCTGGTTTGAAATCCTCTATGTGGCAGTAACTGTGTGGATCTGATTCCATCTTTTTTTTTTCTCTCATAATAAATTATGAGAATTCATTCTTTTGGGGGCTGCACTGATATGGGAAGCGTGGGCCGATGCCAGTATCCAAAATTCTTCCTGTACATAGCGGCTGATGCTGATATAAACATTGAAATAAATATAAATCCATCTTTATTCGCATTACAGAGAAATCTAACGTTTATTTCTTTAGGGTTACAAATGCAGTGAAATGAGTTAAATGAAAACACAATAACCCAGCGTAGCCTAGACATTGCGTTCTTCTGGAGTACAATAAATACACTGTCAATACAGGTTTGAAATATCAGTCAATTGTAAACATCTGTCCAACAATACTATTAGTATTAAATGCACTGCCATTTCCATTTGTTTCATATCTTTAGACCATATTAGAACCATCATATAATGCAGGCTCTTACCCAGGGATGGTTCATAATTATATCTAAATAGAAATGTTAGTGAAATTGATATTCTCGTGTCTTTTAAGCACTCATAGGTTTCTTAATCAGTTCAGTTGTGCTGTCAGATGATAGTTAATGAATGGCAGCTGATGTAATTATAGTGTATGTTTCACAGGGGACTTTTCATTCATTGTGATGCTTTGTATTCTGTTCCAAATGTGCTGAAATGGAATTCTACGCATCGAATTTGAATTTAAATTTGAATTTAGGACTCAAATCAAAAAGAAACCCAAACATTCTAGAGCTTTCTTCTAGAAAATTCTAGAATATTGGATAGTGTTTTTTTCTGTTGGAGCCATTGCATCACAATTGGGGCCTTAATCATTACACGTAGAGAAGGACAATGAGCTCATTGTGGCTGTGTCATTAAGCCATTATTGTGGTTCTGTACGGCTCGAGCCGGACTTAAACACTGTAGCGGCTCAGCTTTCGGGCTGGTTTCATTTAACACTTACCCACGGCGGTGCCCATACCATGCCTGCCAATCTATCTTTCTCTCTCTCTCTTTCTCTCTCTCTCTATCTTTCTTGCTGTCTCTCTCTGTAGCCGGCAGCAGGGCTGGCCGGTGTGCTGCCCGTTCAGAATGTTAGCCGCCACCGCGCTCTCTCTTATCTTATCGGGCTAATCCAGCGCGCCCCCGCTGCTTTTATCGGCCTCCAAATAGCCGCGGCCGAGGCTGGCACCCCGCGGGCAGCCATGCGGGACCCCAGGGCCTGCCTGAACGCCGTGCCAACAACTCCTCAACACCAGCCACACACACACACACTCACAGAGACAGGCCTTACTGTGCAGGCCACACTTGTATTCTGTATCTGTGTGGGTGTGATTATTTTAATTGTTTTCATTTATTTTCTTCATGAAGTCCCGATAAGTCGTCTGCTTTCCCCTCTGTTTTATCTGTTTCGTTTTTTGCGCTTAACACCTGATAAACTACAACCAGAATAATATTCACATGTGGTTTTGTTTTATTTATTCGTAATTTTTTATACTCGAGTGTCTGAACGTGTGTTTTTGTGAGCTGGTAAAGAAAAAAGAAAGCATGAGCGTGAGTTTTTTTGTTTTGTTTTTGTTGGCGAGTGAGTGACTTGCGCATTTTTGAATGCTGAACGACGCGGTTACTTTTGTTTGTTTGTTGGCTCTGCTCTCCGTCATCGCAATTGTTTATTTCCTTTGTAAACATTTTGTTTAGCGCCGCTAAACGCGGCCTTCATTGTCAGTCTCGCACAGCGAGCGCCCCTCAGCGTCTTTTGTGTGCCAGCGAGAGAGAAAGAGAGAGAGAGAGAACGATAAAGAGAAAGAGAGAGAAAGATAGCGACAGGGAGCTGTGACTGCAATTGTTCTGTTTGGCACAACCTCAGCGCCTTTGGTGTGGGAAGATGCTTCTTACTCCAGCTTTGTGTGTGTGTGTGTGTGTGTGTTTATGAGCGTACGCTGCTGCGGCGGGAGCTCTTTCGGCCTCGCTCTCAAATTTTAACGCTGCACTCTTTTCTTTCTTCCCAAAAAGGCACTTTTTACACACTTTTTCATTTCTTTCTCATACTAAACTTTGCTCTTTGCCTTCTTAACAATAACTCTTTCACATTCAGTCTCAAATCACAGACAAAACCAAACCAGTTCATGTATAATAAGATATAAAAGGGTATCAGAGAAGCCAGTGTGTGTGGTGTGTGTTTGTATGGGGGGGGGGTCATGGATGGACCTCAGAGTTATATTTACTCTTTGAGAGTGAGGGTCCACTGTTAGTGGCAAGAGTCTGCTTTGTTTTGTTTCCTCTGACTTTCAATAATTCAAATTGTCCTTTTTTCTGCTAAACATTAAAGCATGTTGATGTTATTTCCTTGAAAAAACATCCCTGAAAAAACAGCTAGATATGGATAGAAGATGTGCAAGATGTCAGTCTATATGTGCAGGTATAGATTTGCTAGATTGAAGTTAGATTGAAGATCAGAGTGAGTCTGTAATAATGTAATATGATCATTTGTTTAGATTTCTGCCTGGAGAACATATAAACCTAAGCAAAGGTAAAATGTCAGAAATGGGCATTAACGGGTTAAAATGTTCGGTATGTTAGAGAGGTCTTTATGTTTTGGAGATGAAAACAAATGTAATCACTTTTAACCCCTTAAATCCAGGCTTATTACCTACTAAGGCTTATTATTCAGTAGCTACAGGAACGTCAGTGCAAACTGGCTGAGTTATTCTTGGGTTATAGAAGTGTGTAATAACACTTTGGGCCCACCGGTGGGTCCTGGCCATTTAAGGGGTAATTTTTTCAGTGTTTTTACTTTATCAAAATATTACATTTGCAGCCCATCAGTTACTCGCTGTCCTGTTTGAGTCGTTTGTTGAAAGCAGGCAGGGAAGAGTAACGAACCAGTTTTGGACCAAATTAGTCCGTATATCCAGGCTTTTAGTCATACTTGGAAAGGTGCGCCTTTTTATTACTGATGATTTATCGTTATTATTAAACTGTATTTTAAACATGCTTCTTGTTAAATCGTCCGCACAGGAAATTTGAAGTCACACTGTTGAGGAGGTGTGAAATGTGCGGCTTCGGCCATTTTAGGATTTTTCCTCCGCTGCTCTTCGACTGTTCCGACCGGTGCCAAAACCGGATTTTGGAACGCTGTAAAGCCCAGAGGGAGCGAGAGAGAGCGAGAGAGAGAGAGAGAAAGGGAGAGAAATTACAGTATACAGACAGGAAAATGAATTAGAGAAACTCGATTAAGAGAGAGAGAACAGCTCGTTTCTACATTACTACACCTTGAAAGAACTCAGCAAAGAATATCTGATGTTGTTGAAAGAAATGATACATTTGAACCAGCAGTGCACAAGTG